GGGGGTCCGACGATTAAGAAGAAATAGCAAGTAGCCACGAGAATATTCCCATAGCTCTCCTCCTGCTTTTTGTGCTTATAGCCTACCTGATTGCTATGACCCCCCCCCCAAGTCAGCTCCCAGACCTCATTCACTGCACTTGAAATGCGTATTGAGTTCCGAGCAGACTGTTAAATGTGTTCTCCACCGGTCGTCTGGTCACCGTTACCCAGCGCCCGGCCATCAGAAGGTCGTCAATTAATTCATCCCAGCTCCTGCCTCCATATTCATTGCCGAGTAGGTATTTACAAATGGTGCCCATCACCACGTAACCTCCTGATAGATTAAAAAAATGAACATCCATTGTTTCCTTGTTTTTGAAATATTTTTCCATTTTGCTTTTTTAAAAAGGGGCTTTAATATTTTGTCATCAGGCTATAGTACATATAAGTTGCCACTGAGAATTGCAATAGATAGTAGTAAAACAGATTTGAATTACGGTGTAATTTTTAAATTTTGAAAAAATGGTTTTCTAAGGAACATGTATTATGTGGCAGATGGTTTAATATGTATTAGCTGTATATTTCCAAGGAAACAATTGATTGGAGATGATAGTATCCATATTATGAGAAAGTAAGCAGGACGCTTACCGGTGTATTTTTCTCCAATATATTCAACCTGGCATTTCTTTAAAACTTTTAATCAAACTATACATTTGGAAATACATTTGGTCGCATTCAGTGTGGAAGCAAATACCCCTGAGTCTTGCTTATGAAATAATTAGTCAATTGACTGCTGTTATGTTACACGATGCACATGTAGGTTAATTCACAATAGTCGAGTGCCTTCCCTTCTCCATTTCTCCATCTTGCTCAGCTGACATGCCAATGTGGCAAACGTCAAATTGCCTTCTTTTTTTACCTGATATTATAATGTGTCTTAAAACGGACAAAGTGACCTACCTGGTTTAACAATACGAATGAATTCTGCAAAGCACCTTCCATCCATATGACCAGGAGCTACCGCTCCTGTCATCATGACCGCATCGTATGTGTCTAGTAATAAATAAATAGATAAATAAACGAAGATTTATCCATAACCGTTCCCAGTGTTGCGTACGATAAATACTTAAAGTCATAATAAGTCTTCGTTTTGGCCAAAAATTGGATTTTCCTGGAAAAAACGGCAATTTTCCCGTACTTACCAATGGTCAACGACCCCATTCCTGCATTCAAAGTTAATCCAGGTTTTTTTTCCTAAACGTACGGTTTTTTGTTAAAATCTTTTAAGAGATTTTAACTGACGAAGCCCTCTCTGACATTGCATAGTCACTGGTGACCTACTTAAAACCGCGGGAAAAGCAGACAACAACAACACTATATAACAATAATATAAGATTCATGAGATATATTTGTCTTTTTGTTAAAAATGCATTTATATCCACAATGTGTGCCATTCTGGGCTTTTCGTTATCCGACGCACTGTCCAAAACTCGCAACTTACGTCTGCGTCTGCATCAACGCGTTTCGCGCCATGTTATTTTGGTCTCGAATGAACGCGAGAATCCGCGTGACACCCTTACGTCATTGACGACCGGGAAGAAAGGCATCGAAAGCCCTATTGACAGGCACAGATTTTAATTTTACTACAATAACGGCCGTTTTAGTGGTAAAATACAATAGAATATATTTCCATGCGTTGTTTACAGTGTATTTCTTGCGGAATTTTGAATCTCAAAGGAAGAGTTATTATTGCTTTAATTTAAGATTTTATCTTAAGATATAGCTTAAATTCTAAAATGTATCATCTGAAATTGCCAGTTTAATATTGTTTTCATCGATATATAGTGTCAATGTTTTTTTAGTTTTGTAAATGATATGATTGCAAAACTTGAGTGATAACTCTAATTACGTTATTAATTCTTACGCTGAAGTTTACAATCGAGTATGCCAATTGTATTGAGTATTCCTTTTTGTTAACTCACGAAGACTGAATGAGTATTTAAGTTGATTATATTTGACAATCCGTTTTTTCTTTCCTGCAAACACTTCATTGTTACATTATATTTTATTCCACCTGCAAATGCAGTGACACAATACATATTAAGACTATTTAACAGGGGTTTCTTTGTCAAAAAAAAAAAAAAAAAAAAAAAAAAAAAAAAAAACGTGTCTTAGACACAGCTATGTGTGTATGTTTTCATACAATCCAATAAATTGACGATCATCTTTCAATGAGAGATTTGTCCAAATTAACTACATGTAATTCTCCAGAGCGCTTTAAAGATATGTTTCAGCATGGTGACAGGTAACAAAATTTGACGCCTTTTGCCCATTTGGCCATTATTTGCATTAAGTCTCTAGCTGGTATCAGAAGAAAATATATATTAGAATGTGAACATATAAAAAAATACTTACCATCAGGAATATCCAGCACCTCAGGACCAAGCCTCATACTCATCACCTTTTTATAGATATTCTTCTGCTTGGCCTTTTCAAGCATTTTACTACACCTGTCAAAGCCATGGAGGTTGTGGAAACCACGCTTTGTCAACTAGAACATATAACATGTAGACAATTTTAACTCTGTTTCCTTGCTCAAACTGTGACAGATAATTTGGTCAAACGTGTGTCAAAAGACGTTTATTATTTCTGTCCAGTATCAAACGATATGCTGGTCAGGAACCAAAGAAATCTGAATATATGTTGACGAGTGAACAGACGTGGTGTCAACGTGTCTGGCAGTTAACGTGGGGGCCGGTAATACCGCGAATTTGAACTAATAATAAACCGTATAATATATATTGATACCCTGTCTGCTAAAATGTGGAGATACACTGTATTACTGACTCAGACAAACAGATACAATCATCACCTCTATGCCCCCTAAACCGGTTCCGCAGGCGGCATCCAGAATAAGGGCGTCTTTGTTGTCCTTTAAGCAGTTTTCCATTTCGGTTGCGCCGACACTTGGTTCAGTGTAGTTTAGAGTAACCATGTCCTAGAAAGATTTAAACGTATATGTCCAATGATGATAACGGTAATAAATAACCGAAAAAAAAATAACCGAAGCATATCCATACCAAAAAGTTTAATTGATAAATATATTTTTTTCATATTGTACCCCAAGCTCAGGGTAACACTTTTTTTCTGACAAACGAGGTTATTGTTTTTAAGTGGATTATCTGAGGTTGGATTTAGTCATTTATAGTTTTTAGTCTCATTTATCTAAAAAAAGCGAGATAAAATGGGATGTTGAAAAAACATTTAACCAGTGAGGAATGGAAAAAGTTTGTTGATAAGTTTGTTAATACAACAATAGCTAACCTTCAACGTCGATGGGTAAGCAAAGTATTACTTAAACCAAATCACGTAACATTTCACCTTTACCTTATCATATTCTTCTGCCCATTTTGCGTAAACCTTGTCCACTCCCTCGCTGTCGGTACCTTGTTTCTCAAGCTCATCCAAGATTGGTAGAGACTGCTCCACTTGCTTGGCCATATTTTTCTCCGTGTGTTTACGTTATAAAATCTGCGTAAGCATTATGCATTGTACAAATATAGGACACAATATGTGCATTCAACTCACGTACACAGCTGTCTGCTCCTTTGTGTGTATAACATTGGATACTACAGAGATTGTTCAAAACATTTAACACTCAGCCTTGAAAACTGTATGCCACAAAATACACCTGTTTTATTATTATTCATATTCAACCCACTCGAGTGCAATATTATCAACAAATAATAATTATTATTATTATTATTATTATTATTATTATTATTATTATTTTCACTGCTACCCCATCAAAACAACAAACGTCTGCAAAACTGAAAAACATTGGACATTCTTAGGCTAAGGTGGTTTATCTAAGAAAACATATATTGGGTCGCGTAATCACGGGGTAAAATGTGTTGTGGCATCGGATGGTATTGTGGTAGGTGAGATTGAGCTACTCTGTAAAATCAAATAAATGTGTTTTCAAACCATATGTATATTAAAGAGATCCAAGCCAGGATTTTGAACACATTCAAAGTGTAAAAATTGTTCTTGTTGAACTTACCTGAGGGCAGTTAAAACATGTACTGTCAGATGAATGGCTTTAATCGATAACCATAGTCACCGTTTCCTGTTCTTCAATTGTCAGCCATCTTGACAGCTTGAAAATAACGCAGATCACGGCACGATAGTCTCGCGATATCCGACAGTCGAGTGAATGGAATGAAAGAGGTGCCTGAATAACAAGGGCTTGATCTTTTGCTTTATCTAAAATTGTTACAGAGTTAGGATGATTGGCAGAAAAAGAAGGTTAAGTTGGGGGGAAAGTCGTTTGCCCCTGGAAAATTGGTTAGATATGATTTTTTGGGCGGAGGGCTTAAAAGGGTTTAATTTTTCAGAGTGATTTCGAAAGATTTTCATTCTTTAAGCTACGCCCTCAGAACAAAGCGAGTATAATTGGTTGTTATACCGTAAGAATGTAGGAGAATTTATTAGCACCTCCATCCTGAAAATCTCAAACCTTTTAGTAAAACAATAAATATGGAAGGAGAATTTTAATATATTGATTTTTTTACCAAATTTGTAATCTTAACATCTACATGTACCCCATGACCACTATTTAACAGTCAAATAATTTCGCTCGTTATTCATCGGCAAACCAAAGAAAAGAGGAACTTTACTGTTTTAAGTAAACAAAGTCGCCACCCCAATGTCCGTTCACTCTGCTCAAATTGCATTTGCCTAACGTTTTCAATAATGCAGAATCAAGCAGCTCACGCTGAACATAAAGCATTCGATTTAATCGAGTTACACAAATATTTGCGCAAGACGTGGTCAATCCGTTGTATCGTTTTAGCAACATTGTAAAGTATCTGGTGTGAGTGGGTGCCCTTGCCGTGTCAAATATCTCGTAATGACCAAAGATACTCTCTGCCTGTCGGCCCCCTAGCGTGTTGGTTTTGAAGTACAGTAGACTCCGCATAATTGGGACATTTTGGGGATCTGGGAATTGTTTGAATTACTTACTGAAAGAAACCAGTTAGGCATTGTTTATATCAATTTCTTCAAGGAAATTATTAGTATTTCAGAAAAAAAATTATACCACGTGAATTATTTAAGATAAACAGTCATTCGAGTTCTATGGTGACGAGGGTCTACTGTAGGTAGCGTAGTAGACAACATCATAATTTACAGGGGCGGATCCAGAGCTATATACTGACAGTCTTCCAAATTATCTTTGTTGATTCATCCTCCAATTTTGACCGTCTTCCAACATTAAAAATTGGATACCCGTCAATGTAAACTTGAAAATCTGACCGTCTTCTGGAAGACCCAGAAGACGGCCTAAATCCGCCCCTGAATTTAGATGTATATAAATTTATTCCATATATAAATATATTTGTTCACAGAAAGCTAGTTGAATGCATCAGTCTAGAGAAACAGAAAATTCTACAATAGGAAACTCACCGAGACTTGTGGAAATTGTCAACTGTCTGCGGTGTTATGAACTAAGAATGAAAAAAAAATCCTATTAGTCTATCAGTTTATTAAGTGTTCCGCATAGTAAGAAGAAAAAGGGGGTTTGATCACACTCCAAGTGACGGTGTTTAGCATTTCTGACGTAAAAGTTTCTGAAAAAAAAATTACTAAAACTAAAATAAATATTACCGAAAATAAAAATTGATATTTTAAGTCAAAGTTTGTATCAGTGTAAAAAAAGAAAGAAAAAAAAATGCATTATTATTCTTACTTCTTTTGCAACTTTTTAATCACTCAAAAATTCTACATGCATGAATATTGGAGGACAAGAAAATTCAATACAAGTGAACAATTGAGTCATAATTATTTCCCGTTAGATTGTCTCCGACCATGCGCTCCGTGTCGTTACAAAAAAAGCAAAGTATGTAGTTTTTCATTAATGCTGAAGGTAGCAAAACGCATTTTCCCTCCGGCACCCTCGGATTAAAAAGCAATAATATGTAAATGTTGAGCAAATCTGTTGAAAGTCAGCAGCGCATGACGGAAATCATCACCGTGTGATTTAAACATGTGTATTTAAGCAAACATTAGCAGAATAGGATGTGCATGGACTGATTTAGAAAACTAAATCGCCAGAACTCACATTTTGGTTTTGCTAAAATGTCCTTTAGCTGGGAGTTTAACATAGGTAAACACTGCGGTACATGGTACGCTCACTGCAAACTATTTACCCAAATAATCAAAATAATAATTTTATAACAAAAAGACACCTTCTGTATTGTTTAACAACAACATAATTAATTGTATTGACTTATCCTGTAAAAACGAATACAGTCTAGCAGATACAATGACTTTATACATTTATTAGTCTATATGTACATACCACACAAAAAGTGTTCCATGTCTTGGTTCAAATAAATGCCCGCTATAACATTTGATACATATATTCATTGTCATCATCTAGGAACAGAGAAATTAAATTAAAAGCTTACTTAAAGAAATTAGAGCTTAAATAAAAATTTCAGATCGTAAAAAAAATGATGAAACCCTCCAGCAAAAGAGCAGTGTGGAAAAAAATGTACCGGCCACATATTAACAGTGGTTAACTGGTGGTCACGGTGATCCATGCACGTGCAGCTTGACCTGCTGTGACCTTTATCAGCTAGTCTTGCGTGACAAATGTCCACAAATATCCCTGTAATCAAACTTTGTCCATGAAGAAATGATACTCTCCGTGCAATAGAGAAACGCGTTCGAGATTAAAGAATGGAAGACTGTTATAAATACGAAGGATCCAATTTTCATCTTCATGAAGACCGGATTTCACCCATTCGAGCCTCAGAGGTACATCTTCTTAAGGAAGCCACCCGTTGAGTAGCGCCGCATTCCAGCGTTAGATCCAGCGCCTAGACACCGCGCGGTAACAGCGTAGAAACCACTGGGTGATTCACCATCTTTCTTCCTTACCACTAGTACCGCTATTACCCGGCTATCGCGACATCAATGGACGACTGCAGCGTGTTCGAGACAAGCGCCGGGCAACCGTCTGTCGTCTCCCCTGTGACTGTCACCAACGCCACACAGAGCGTTGACACGGGCGTAGGTGAGCATTTGCTATTTAAATCTTGAACTAGGCAAGGAGAATGACGCAAATGTTTTGAATATAATTATAAATATTATTATGTGACGCTCTGTTATAATGCACTCTACCCCGAGGTGTTGATTTGGTCCAGTTTGTGCTGCAGTTCATTAAGTTTTGTGAAAATGCTGCGGTGAAAGTCAATCTTAACTGGGGGAGTTTGCAAACGCAATCACTAGAATACGCCGTGGGGTCGACTAAGGTGGTTGAATTTCTGTTCACAGGTACAAAGTTATTAGTCAATAATCAACGTTTAAGTCAGCATTCCGTCAGCATTCAGAGATTTTATAAAAAAATGAATGATCTTCTTATAAAGCATCGTTTGAAATTCTTGTCCGTTGCAGTTTTATTGTTTGTACACATACGTGACAGAATCTCGAGCAGGAGAAATTTTTCAAAGGAATTCTAACAAAATGTTTTCATGCAGCGTTCACCCTTTTAAGGAGAATTTTATTCATCGAAAATAAAAAACGGTTTAACTTTGTGCAATTATTCCCAATACCACTTTACCGAAATGTAATAAAAATTTTCAAAATTAGAGATTTATCTAAATAGTTATTATTTTTAATAATAATTCTAAATAAATTATGATTATCACTTGCATGTATTCATAAAATATAAAGTGGCATGACTTCATAGTTTTGTTTTTCACGTCAACTCAAAAGTTAGAATTTCCAGAATAATTCTTATCATATATTTGTGATTAAATAGTAAACGAATTGACTCATGTAAATGTTTTAAGCTGGTCCAGCTACAGCATAACAAGGCTCGAGTTTAAGCGGGTCAACAAAAATCAAACAGTTTATGAATAATGTATTAACATGGGCATAATCGGGTTAAGACTTTTTCGAAAGATATATATATATATATATATATAAGAAATATTTTTTATGTATGGAGTCTGAACAAATTCCATACTGACTAATAAAATTTTCAATAAAATAAATAAATGAAAATGAATAAGTGACTGCATACAACTAAATTTGCCTGGTGACATCGACTATTTTCTTAACGGTCATCCACTATCAATTTCAGAACGTTCCGTTCTTCACTAGGTCACGGTTGAGGGAAATATGATGCGTGTGTTTGCGTTTGTTATCTAAATACTGTAATTATAACAAAAAAAAAGAAAAAAAAGAAGAAGAAAAATGAAACACGTCCGTGTGGACATTTTTCACAGACAATTTCATAATTTATTTAAAAGTAATTATGTCAGTGACAGTTATTTTTTACTGTGAAAATGAAAAATGTCAATATTCATATAAAATTCTATGAACGCTTGATACTTTGACAGTTTTGTTCTGATTTGCAGTTGTGTACTGTAAATACTATGTGCAGTTACATATGCACCCAAATGTAGAAAATTTTCCATTATTGATTATCTGGAAAAACAGTATATGTGATTTTACTCTAAACTGAAGGTGTCACGAGCAAAAAGTAGATTATGCCTTGTTTTGGAATAAGAAAAAAATCACCAAAAAAGGAGAGAAGAAAGAACGATAAGAGAAAAAGAGAAGAAAAATTAAAAACTCAAACGTGAACGCAAAATAATATTCGATAACATACATATAAAAAAAAAAACAGTTTGTAATCAATTTCTCTTCATATCCCATTTTCATAAGACGTGCATTTTCAAGGATATTGTTATTCAGGCTTTGACATTTTGACCGTAATTTTCAAATGAAAAATATAAATGTAATATTTTCGCCCCTTTGTTTATTTTATTAATGATTTAGACAAATATCAGTAGTGTATTTTTTGGTTTGAAACTCGATAAAAATTTTGAGATAATCGTTGAAAGCAATTAAACTTTTTGTAACTCCAAGAAAATTAATTAAAATATGTCTCTAAGTTCACACATAGATTGTCTTGAACTTCACGATGTTTTCAAAATAACACTGGTTGGGACTCCTCATTCAGTTAGCATTGGGCACAGGTGAGCTTAATAAAATTATACAAGAGTACCCGCACGAAAACGAAGTAGATACTCCAGCGCAGTAGACTACTGCAATCATACTGCAAACATGCTTCAAATCTGCTTCGATGTGGGAGCTAATTAGCATATTTGAAACATGCTTCTATCATGCTGCTAATCTACTGCATTTATGCTCCTCCTCTATACAACCCTTTGTAATTTGTGAAGTAGAATTGCAGTAGGCTATACTGCATTTCTACTGCAAATATGCTCCACACCACTACTGCGTTTATGCTTATTTGCTACTTCGATACTACTGCATTTTCTTGCGGGTAGTGTAACGTTTAAATGTATTAAAAAACCATCTCCTTTATTTATGAATTGTCCTCATTTAAACAAATCAGTGTATGTTTCTCATGAGTAATCAAGGGCTCCATTAAATACCTATCATCACACAGGATTGACTATGTTAATCTTAACACTGCGCTCTATGAAATAGTTTCGCACTCATAAAATTATCATTATATACTTTAGATTGACCGCATAGTAATTTGTTGTGTTTCATTATATATAGGCTTATTATTATTCGTGTGAGATGAACCCTGTTACGTCCTTTTTTCCTAAAAGTGACTCCAATATCTGCACTAAAACACCAAGATAACCCGAGGTCAACAATGATTTTGTGTCCTCTTTCTAATTAAAAATCGGTCCTCGGGCCCTTCCTTTCATCGTGTTTTCCTTGTAAACCACCTCTTCTGAATATTGAACTACTTATTAGCATTTTGTTATGAAATTATGAGCGGGCGTGACGGCCAGAATAGACAGGTGGTTTGTGAACTACAATAGTGAAAAGAGGATTTATTTGTTCATACATAAAAATAGGATAAAGATTTATAATCGCGTTGTGCGGGCTAGGTGTATAGAGTCTTTATATTATTATATTATATTGTGCTCGTCAGTGCTAGGGAGGAATATGAGAGTAATTCCTTCAATGAATTATAAAAATTGACAATATTATATACCTTTAAGGTAAAACATTTTTCAGTTAAAAATCTGAAAATATAAATATTCATACCAAACAATCATCCAGCAGCAAATTATGTTCATAAACCCCGTAACATTTGAATCAAAAAAGTCTAACATCTAGAAAAGATTACATTTGTAATTTCGTTTACTAGGATTTTATTGAAACGGATTTAAGGCGCAGGATTCAAGTGACAGACCTGATAGAAATTGAGGTTTATCGTAAATAATAATAATAATAATAATAATAATAATAATAATAATAATAATAAATCATGCAAGGGGTTCCCCTATCATCAAACACAAGAACGTCCCCAGGTAAGAGGCAACTTAACCTGGTGCTAAGTTAAACTGTGTTTCGAAAGACAGATAAAATATGAAAATGTTCTTCAGATGCACGTCTTTAAAATGCCTTTTGACCTCACATAAACTACCTTTATTTTTGCGTGGCTGACACCAAAGTCACTTCAATAACTATGGATTGATACGACCTAGAGAAAATATTAAGGTCCCATCTTGGCTCTATGTTAAATAAGCATTGAGGTGGCTCTGTTATTTCAAATTATGTCCCAAAATGTCGTGCCCGCTGGCCCTAGAACAGCAATGGTGTGCGTCAGAATCATGTTGACTTTACTGCAGGATTAAATAGAGCGTGCTCTGTCTCGCGCTCGCCATGCCCGCTGGGTTTAAACAATGAAAAACACCTCTAATTGAATCTGATACCAACTTGAAAGGCTCAAGTGTTGCGGGTTAAATTCATGCAATATTAGACAGGTAAAACAGAGAAATAGCCCAGAAGCCTGTAAGTCTTTGAAGTCGACCTCGAACTGTGTAAAATGAAAATAACATTCACCAAATTAAAGAAAAGTCCCTTTCCTTTCGTCTCGCTAGACATTTGTTTGGAATAATTGTTCCATGTCATATTGGAAGGTTATTCACAATGATAATTTCATGAAGCGTTTAATACGTGGTGGATTTATACACAGCGTGTTACAGTAGGACGGTTTACAATCTCACTGGTACATTTTGCGTTCCCTAAATTTACAAGGACATCTGCAGTGGGAGAATTCTGTTGTCATTTAGCTGCATATATTTTATATGTTCAATTTCTAGCTGCGTATATGCTCACGGGCATTTAGTGGCGCCAAAATATCCCTCAATTACCCAATTAGTGCCTTCCCTATATTACTGAACCTAAACCTCATTTAAACAGCACCAGAAAGACATAAGATTAACATATAGCATGTCCTTAACAGATTGATCGTGTATTTGTGTATTGTCCTGTATGTTCCCAATAGACTTTTGAAACCCTGGAAGTATCGCTTGGAAGGACCACAAGAGGAGTACTCGACATTGGAAAATAAGGAAAAAAGCTGAATTACCGTTTTTTATGATATTCGAAAAATTTTGATACCTATTTCGTTCTTCATGCGAAACTCTATATTTCAAAATAAGAAAATTATATATTAGTATGAACATATGGATCAAAACAAACAAATCAAAGTAAATATACAGAGAAACTAGAGTCGAAACTAAAATTATATTCTGAACTTGGATCTTGTAGACAAGTATTTTTTTTAGTTAAATAAGAATATCCAGTATGTTTCACAAAAATAAAAAATAGTTAATTAAATAAATAAAATAAACTAATTATAAATAAAAGAAACTAAGTTCGACTGCTGTTATATTCTATTGAACTACTACATACAAACAAATCTAAACGTTTTATACCTAAAACTTAAGATCAAGGTGCGACATAAGCTCTTTTCTAAACGGGAGCAGGGAAGCGTAAAGCAGGGATTTGTTTCACAATGCAACCCGAAATATGATGTAGACTTTTAGACCAAAAAGGGTGTTCCTCTTATAAATATATACTATCTTACTTAAGTAAAGTATTAAGTTTGAAATATTATTCTGCCTGCTTATAACACAGGCACAATATTTCAATTGAGTGGACAACGCATGCGCCCTGCTTCATCTTGGGCCAAACTAGACTAACATTTGATCAAAAAGTTCAAGGTAATTTTACAAGCAGACCCAGAGGTATCCTACATTCGCATGACTATGCAGTCCGCTGAGAAAGAGTTATGTCTGCCTTGAGTAGGACATTTGAGGTCTGCTCTATTCCTAATTCATTGGGCTCATCCACGACCTTAACAACATTACGGTTTTACAGTCAGGTAGTAATGGCCCGAGATGTTGAAGCAGGTGTTCGTGCTCGTTAAGTCAATGGAGGCATTATGTAGAGGTGCTCGTTTAAAGAACTTTGTCACAGCTGAGAATGTATTTAAGTCTGACGGAAATGCCTGAGCGCAAATCACCATACTTGTCTAAGCCTACCTGGACTATTGCGTGAATTGGCGAACATTTATGAAAAGTTGCATGTTATGGAAACGCAAATGCTTCTATTAGCTAAATGTTTAAAGACTCAAGATTCAAAATCCCTTAAAACAATATGTAACATGTTTACATAAGTCACTAAAATTTTAATATTGATTATATTTGTGGACAAAGCTTGTTTCTTTAAAGCCGTAAAATCTGTTCATAGTAAATGACAGGTGTGTCTTTATCAAGTAAAACATTAGTTATTCAATTTCTTGAATTATGAGGAATCCAATTTGTTGTGTCGATAACATACCAATGATACATATTTTGATAGTTTTACATTTATACAAAATAGTACTGCAGAAGCGTTTCGCCTCCGTTTCATTGAATAAACTTTGTTTTAACAAAAATTTAAAAAAAATGATACCTTACGTCTCTCTTAATCATACAAAAAAGTGGATGTGTAATGCCTTATCTCTTTTTATAAACAGGTCAGACATCAATATCGTTCATAAGAATTATACAAGTTAAAAGTTAAATTAAATATTGTTGTTAGAGATGCATTTTTGAAGAATATTAACGAAAATTAAACTGTTCCGTCGCACAAATATTTTCGCATCTGATGCTAAAGATGTGATTAACTGTTTTCCTTTCGGATCTCTTAAAGTTTATGTTATTTCAATACAGGTCCCAATTCTTTATCCCTAAACTTATAGATTCACTGATTACAAACGCTGGCCTCGTCTTTAACTGATTTATGTCACCACATTAACCACCCAGGGCATCAGGGACAATCATTTCCCCTTTAATGTGCACAAAATTTGTAAAAGGATTATTCATGAATTAAAAGCTGCGTTTCTGGCATGTTAACACGGTGGAATTTTAATATGAAGAGCAGTTCAGTGGCATGAATAACAGCTCTTTTTTTTCCCCCAGACGTCATGCTTGGCTGGTAATGGTGCAGTTATTGACCTATTTTACTGCCCTGGGGTTTACACACAACACCTGTGTCAGATATTATTATTAATAATAAAAGAAAACAAAATCATGAATTGAAATTTTAGAAAGAAAAAGTGGAAAAGGGAGAATACCTTAAGGCCAAATAGTGAAGGGGGGAAATATCAGTAAGTAACATATATCTGGACCATGTGACTAAGTGCTATTGGAATTAATAACAGTAATTTTCTTTTAATTTCAGACCGATGGCCAAACTTATCCCCCGACATTGGAAAACATATAACAGATATAGGGAATAGCACTTGTGGGAAAGGCGCTGGATTTATCTCTAGTAAGAATATGCCGTAAACACGTCGTAACATTAAGACAGTTATTATTAAGATAAATAAAACGGCATTTAATTTTAGATGTAAACTTTTTACATCTGTGTATTTGATTTGAGAGTTTTAATTCAATAAGCCACAAGGAGTAACATAATGTTGTATGTGTAACAGTTCTTTTCAAAACTTAACTTTACCTTCATATCTAGCAAAACATTATTTACAAAAGCGAGGAATGCATATAAATGTATATTAATATCAAATTATATTAAGGCGAAAAGGGTCCAAAACAAGCACCGATACGACCGCATTCAACCCCTCTTACTCTGAAATGGTAAGCCACTTTTGTTTATGCGTCTACCTTTATTCTTGTTATACAAGGAGATCATTAAAGCTGGGGACTCAGTCATGAATTTCAATATAACGAACTACTAGTATATCTTAGCTATTGCGGTTAAGTTCGTCAGTTTAAACAGTTATGTCGTGATTATAAATTCGGCTCAGAATACACATTTATGAACATAAGTATATCATCTTTTCCGGGCACTATCTACATGCACATGAAAGTCAGCTAGTCGTTCCTCAATCAAAAGCACAGCCATCAGAACCCTATGACATATACAAGGAAAAATCTGGGCTCCGTATCTCGAAAGGTTCGCTATGTTGCGCACGTGCGTTAGTGTCTCGATTCCATAACCGATTCTATTTCGAGATACGGGGCCATGGAATCGAGACACTTGCGCACGTGCGCAACATAGCGAACCTTTCGAGATACGGAGCCCTGACCCAACAACTGATAATAATGAAACCGGTGTTCACGTTCACTGTTTCAGGCTGGACGAAAACTACGAGGTAGCAATCGGGGTCTGTATTCCCAGAAATCAGCTGTACTTACATTACCTGGACTTCTGCGACAAGAACAGATCTCAGCCAGTTAATGCTGCAAGTTTTGGAAAGGTACAGGCGTGCTCCTTTCAATTCTTTCTCAGACATAATCCCAGGAGCATCTATGAACAGCACCATGTTCATTCTAAATTTCCTACAGTACAAAAATGATAATTATCTAACACAAGCCGAAATATTTTCGTACCGTCAGCTTACGGCCAACCTGGGCGAAGGCCTTCATCAGACTGATGTGAGTAGATGTCCACACAAACTGACCGCTAGGTGGTATAGAAACCAGGACGCTCTTATAAATGTCAGGTAGATCGATCCCCGTCCTTATTCATGGGTGGCTGGTGATGACTGATGTTGATAGCCTCTCGTATCTTACGCGGGATGTCGGATGAGCCAGATTCAAGGATCTTGGTTAAATTCCAGTCGATACTGGTCGATCTACCTGACATTTATAAGAGGGTCCTGGCCGCTATACCATCTAGCGGTCAGTTTGTGTGGACATCCACTCACATCAGTCTGATGAAGGCCTTCGCTCAGGTTGGCCGTAAGCTAACGGTACGGAAATATTTCGGCTTGTGTTAGATAATTTTCATTAATGATCCAACTACCAAGCTAATGAACATTTTTGCTCAGTACAAAAATGGTTTTCTAAAATAATTATGTTATCAATGTATTACAAAACATATCAATGGTTTTAGGTTTTCTCTTCTAGTACAAGCTCGATTATTACATTTTTTAATTTTTTTTTTAGTTTTTTATTTTATTTTATTTTATTTCATTTTTAAGAGTGCCAGTTGAACTGCTGGTATATTTTCAGATAATCCGACAACAGTTTCCATCAATAACCACCAGACGTCTCGGTACACGTGGACAATCCAAGTGAGGATGAACAATGTAGAAAGGATATAAAATAATTCTTAACACAGATAGTTACATGTTCATTTAATATATATTTTATTAAATATACATCTCGATTTTATGAGGTCAAAATCTATAGCGACGACGGCGTTGTCTTCTCCTCCTCTTGTGAACTGGTGTCAATGCCGCAGCGCTGTCGGCTTTTTTTCTTTTTTAATCTAGAAGAAGAATTGCGTAAATTTGAATGTGCATTCATTAAAATGGCCGCCTTATACAGGCTATAACTTGTATACGACAAATGCTAATCAATGCAAGCAAGAACATATTTAATGAAATCGAATTTTGTTTTCAAAAACAAGTTTTTGAGTCTGCTGCTAAGGAAACTGCAGAATATGTGCAATGTACTTTTTAACAAATAGGAGCAGACGCCTGTCATAAAATTCTAAAGATATCACGGATGTTAAGCCTCAATATTCTGCCTCTATTTTCTTTCCATCTTCTGTTACAGATACCATTACTATGGGGTTGGGGTCAAAGAGTCATCCCCGTATTATGACATCATATACTCCAAAAACGGGATGGACAGGTAACAACATGTTATTCATTCTGCTTTGTCATGTTTTCTCCTAGAAACCAAATATGTTTTGTTTTAATGGTTGTTGAAATTGTTTGCCCTTTTAATTTGGTTTTTTGAAGTTTAAAAAAATTTAATGGTTTTGTCATACCAATTGTTTTTAGGAATGCCTAACATGTCCTCTTTATGTGTCAATACGTTTATAGGTTCATTAGCAAATCAAATGATTTCGAAAGTTTTCTTAGAATAGTGCAGCTATGATTTTATTATTATCAATTATCTATTTACAGCAAAGATGACTCTAAGACGGACAACGCGAAGCCGGTAACGTATTTTTTGTATATTTGCTGAATTTAAAACCACCGTTATTTCAAACACAAATCTTTGACAAATGGACGTCCATAGAAATAAATACAGACATAAAATTTTGCATACAACTCAGATATGAATTTATATAAATATTATACGAGTCTTATTTCAAGATACACTGTACCTGTATCTATGCAAATGATATGTAAATGATACAAATGACGGTAAATTAAAAATTATATTATCACAGAAATGATATGTTTATATTTTTATATTTAAAGCATATAGTTTATTCCCCTCGCTCTAAACTGGGGACGCTTCTGCCGGAATTTCCAGAGGTGAAAGATATTAAACTCCCACCGGATATACCGCAGGAAAAGGTGAGGGAGTTAAAAGCGCCGATGGCTGCCATCTTCACAATATTAGCCATTTATTCTGAATAGACTTTTGAAGAATGCATCCTATCCAAATTCTTTCTTTTGACTTATAAATTTTGTCAAAATAATGTTTGGTACATTTTGGTCGGTTACTTAAATGCTAATTAATAAATCATAACGTTAAAGTAAGAGCTAAGCGGTTTATTTGCCATGTGTTTTAAAAAAAATAAAAGTCGGTTCACAAAATATTACGATACCTAGAATATTCCTGTGTTACAGTGTTATAACAATAATAATGATTAATAAATGGTTGAATGGCCCATATTGGAAATTAAAGAACATGTCTACAAGTACAGCTCAGATGTTCTGCCTCAATGTTGGTAAAAAAACGGCACAAATAATGGGGCAAATAAGTCAAATTTATGCAAATACTACACAACATGTTTGCAACACCAGCGTAACTCATATGCTCACAAGTTTATGGAATGACCCGAATGCAGCATTCGCCATTTTAACAGGTAATAACATTTGTCATGATGTACCGCACACACTGTCAACGGATTCTGGACACAGTGATTCGCGCCAACTTCGACGAGGTTCAGAACTTCCTGCTCTACTTCTGGCAGGGCATGCCTTCCCATATTATCCCCATATTGGGCAGCCAGACGCTGGTCAGCCTAGTGGGAGTCTGTGACGCCATACTGTACAAGGCCATAGCGAGTGTTCTTATCCCGACCATTCTGCAGTCGTTGCCAGACAGGTAGAGCTCATTCTGTTTAGGTTTTCGAAACCATTTTGGTTTTTACTCGGTGGCGAATTGAACAGAGTTCATTCATTTAAATGTTTGTAATTTTTTATGTCTTTGTTGGGCGTTATGATAGTCTGATCGAGTAATTTGTCTAATTCCGTATCCATTAAAATATTCCGAGTTGGGACTAGTAAAATATATACTAGGTGATTATTATACATGCTCATAAATACATAACCATGCATATATTCTTTTCTAGTCTTACTCAAGATATTAGAAAGTTTGCAAAACAGCTCATAGCATGGACACATAGTGCATTGGAAACATTGCCAGAAAACCTTTGCTCTATGAAACTGAACAGTAAGCTGCACTTAACATTATAGCTTGTAATAATAAAAATGTGCATACATTTATTGAATATTTATACGCTTTAGTAACAACCATGGCAGAAATAAATATAAGAGACATTACACTTTTAGACAGCAAGAAGAAAAAATATTAAAGCACATTTCATAGAAATATGACAGATCATGGAAGTACATGTAATCGCTGTCCTTGAAAAGAAAATATTTCTTATTTTCTGTTATTTCTTCCAAATTCCAGATACATCCTTAAATTTAAACCGCATATACTCCTTTGCTCTCATTTTAGTCGCCAATCGTTTTGCTCACGTGTTACGGAGACAGACGGCACTAAACCATTTGTGCCAAGCAGCACGTGGTGTCGCTGAATGTGGTGACGTCACCGACCAGATGCTCGATGATTGGAGGACTATAGATATCCAGAGCGTGATAAAACAGACTCTTTACACGTTAGACAAATACAGGAGTGCCACAGCGGAGATGATGTTGCAATGTAAGTTGATAACATGTTCTTTATATATAAATATCTCGTTTTTAAAAAGTTCATAATGTAATATACCATGTACCTGTAGTTTGCTTTGTAGATAGATGTTTGGAAGTGCACATTAATCAATAATATATATCGAAATTGAGCATGATTACCTAAATGTAGTATATATTAGTATTATTGATACCAATCTTCAATATTATCCCTATTTTTTTAAAGCTCATATCATGCTCGATCTGAGCGTTCAAGGTGATGATTTATAGGTGAGGTAGGGCGGTCAGTCAAAAGCAGACATATCAAATTATTATTTTTTTTTATATATCTAAATTGCATTATTGTAAAAGAAAGAAACTTGTAAGGGTCTACCAGATGTTGGAATGCACTTCAATGCGTAACACATATAATTTCTGTCAGTTTTCATCTAGTTACCCAGGAATTTGAAGATCTAATGGAGAACCAAGGTACACTAGAGTCCTATGCAGAATGGTTGGACAGCCTCATCAATACATGTGTGATAACGGTGAGACATATAAAATAAACAATTTGTATTCATTAAAATGTTTTAACATGAAAAGTTTCTTGCACATAATTCTATAAATATTTTATCAATTGTGTTACTCGCATAACCAAAGCGTGGGGATATGTTTGAAATCATTATCATCTCTTTCATAAAACATACAGTCATAGCATAGGTAGGTTGCGAGAATTCTAGTTAGAGGTTACTACCTCCTTCTGCTTAGTGTAATATGGTGAATATGCAGAATAACTGAGTAGGTAATATTTAGTTCTGTAACAATATATTTGACATTTCTACTGACAAAAGAAACTCTACGATTAAAAATATAATATCATTTCAGCCAAGTTTCAAGAGCTCTAACAGCCTAAAGAAATGTGCCAGACAGTTCTTATTATTGTGGTCGTGTTTCGGTACTCGAGTTATAAGAGACATGACCCTGCACAGTGCGCCCAGTTTTGGTGAGTATATAGATATATTAGGGTACATTCCACAGTGTTGAAACCGTTTCTGGCACTCAATGATACCCTGCACGAGGCATTTTACCAGTCACAGCAGTTTCATCTTCACGTCATCTTTATGGACATTGTTAAATTGAGATCTGTAATGTGATGTTGTATATCTGAATCTTAGCATTGGTAGGAAATGCGTACATTTCTCTTAAATGAATAAACGATAATCTTCATAAACGTGTCTCAATATATCCTTGCACGTACAAAAGTTGCAAAAAGACCCATAACCCCTTCACCCATAAAATACAGTACATATGTTACATTTATTTCAATCACATATCTTATTACAATCACAGGGACTTAAACTACATGATGTTTATAATTCATCCCTCTGTGTATGACGCACATTCGTTATTGGTTGGCTTAACGACTAATCATTATTTTGTATATACGACTACATACAACCTTTTTACGGAATGACGCTCCTTAAGAACCACAAAAGTCACATCAAGATACCCTCTGTTTTTTATTAATACTGAACTACGTATGGATATTTGATTAACTATTCCAACAAACATATACTGGTATTTGTTTTTATAGAATAATATATTTTTTCTTGGCAGGAGCACAAAGTTGTATTGGATTATACAGTTTTTGGTTTTATATTTTACAACCAGGATCCTTCCATCTACTCCACCTTATGTTTGACGACTATGTGATGTTTAAGTTGGAAATGCTACACAGAGACGAGGAGACAAGGAAACTTGCACAATCCATCAAGGGCGAGACAGTCACGGGTATGGCTATAAGCATAATTAACAAATTGTAGCAGTTGAGATCCGTGGCTATGTTATATACCAAGATAAGCACTTAATTACTTCATGGATTTACGCAGATGGTACCACTGTAACTTTGGCGTCATCCCACAGCTGGACTATGTGCTTGTATTGTTAAACCTACGAAATGATGATCAAAGGTATACACTTTTCACTAATTACACAAAAGTTCATATAGCTTCAATTCTGTGTAGAAAGTGAAAAGTTTAACCTTATGATCATTGTCAATAGACTGCGCAGATTCATTCAAGCAGCCTAGGGAGTTGACGTACATACATTTTGTCAACAGTAATGTAACTGCTTTCTTTTTTATATACAAGACAGGTAGTTGCATTATTTTTCAGCTACGTGTTAGTGTGAATTGAAGAAAAAAATACCAGTTCATATCTCACATAAATAAATGCATTCATATCCTTATTTCATTTCAGATAAAGAAGACGACTGTGTCTTCCCAGATGCTTCCCTGCTTAGACAATCTACAGTGGCAGAGCCTGCTGAAACAGGACAGAACAAAGACTGTCATGGAAGTGTCACAGACGTGAATAGAAACAGTGTCATAACAAGTGCTGTCCAAAAAGCATCCATCCAGGAAGATCTAATTCTAGGTCAAGGTCAAAGTCAAAGGGGAAGCCAGGTTCATTGTCAAGGTCAGAGTCAGCGTGGCGTCCAACTGCATGAGCAACAGCTATCTGCTACAGACAATAGAAATTATTATTACAGAAAAGGTCATAGCATCAGGCCGGCTCATCAAAACAGACATTTTTCGGATTCGACGATTACTCAAGGAAAACAGAGATCCAGCAGCCTAAGCGGTTTTGCCGAAACACCAACTGCGGCAACAGGAAGGAAAAATATCCAAGCGGCCGCTACAAGCGGTGATAACCAGCGTCAAAACGAAGCTGCATTACAGACCTCCGTTGTTGACTATAGCGGCGCTTCATCTGGTGAAGGAAGTTCAACTATTTATGACAATAACAGTACTAGTGACAGCTCTTCGAACCCTCAGTTGCCACGCCAGTTTAAGCGGCCACACATGTTTGCAGCGTCTTTTCCCACCAAACGCCGCGCCACAAGGTGAGATTTTTTTAGACATTTTTTTTTATAGAACTGCGTCAGATCATTAACCAGTAGTCAAAGTGCACACTCTGAAATTTTATGCAGCAAATTTCTTTGAAAAAGAAGTGCAAAAAAGTTTTGTGGTTTGATTATTCTATTCTATAACACTATTTTACATTTTGTTTCTATTTTATAGTTTGAATCAATCCATGTACAACTACGGCGACTACCCTAGTGTAGGGGGGCAGTCATTGGGCTCTCAAAGTTTTCAAAGACCCCACATATCCTCCTCGTTAAACCAAGGGCTTGTCGGCGCGGTATGCCAGCAGGAGATGTACGACATGTTTGGAGAAAACCAAGTAAGTCAGTATTGTGCATCGTCTGCATCTAACAACATCACAGCTAGAATAAGAATGAAATTCAATAGCTTTTGTTTTAAATAGATATATTAATATAAGTGATGCTTATAAACATTTCACATCAATTATATCCACCTAGTAAGTCAATTTTCTAGCAAGTTTCACGAGTTAATAAAATAAATCCATGGATATTCAGAGAAAGAGCATGGTACAAGTATGTGATACATATACAGTAGCTGCCTGGTCTACAGGTGAAATTTTTCCCGGAGTGGTTAATTATCATTCACATCACAAACACAACAAAATGTGAATACTGTATCAATTTCAATTAAACCATCTTTATTAGCTACAATGCGAGAGGCAGGGCGGCTCGGGACCATCTTTATCCAGTCCAGAAGATGCCCCAAACCACATGCAAAGCGCCGACAGTCCAAACCAAGCACCATTCTCGGCTACGACCACGTGGGGATATTGTAATGATGGGAGAGTAGTTTCCACACCACTACAGGCCATGTAAGTACATGTGGGGTTTTAGTTACACAGAATGTACAGAATTTACTATCACCTTTTTAAACATTATTCAACATTTCTACTACTGGCATCAACCTCAAATTCAGTGATTCATTGAACCGCAACATGGCATTTCTTTTGTGAGGTAATAGTA